GCCTGGGGCAAGAGGGGTCCAGGCCTCCATCTGTTCCTGCCACCGGCCAGCTCTGTCCCCCTCCCCGGCCTTCAGTGCTGTGTCTACACAGGGTGGGGTGTGTGGCCATAGGTGGTAGCTTCCTGGTGATCCAAGGGTGGGTTACCTTGTGCAAGTGAGGGGTCTCCTGGGCTGTCCAGGCCTGGGGGAACTGCGTTTATACGCAGAGCGATGGGGGTTTCCGGCTCTCTCCTCCCCCGGCTCCCTCAGGGACCCCAAGTATTGCGACTGTGAACTAAAATAAAATCTTAAGCCCCCCCAGCTGACTGCATGGACCTCCTCTTGGTCAAGGGGACCCCAGAACCAACCTATAGCTGAGTTGCTGCCATGAGGAGGGAGGTCGGATATGCCTCCTCCCCCCCCCCCCCCCCCCCGCTCCCTTCTTGGAGATGTCCTTTGTGACTCTCCAACAGGCCTACGGCCATGCAAGACACAGCTTAACCCACACCTGCGGGGCCTCAGTTTACTTAGCGGACCACTTGAGTCTCAGTACACGACCAGCGTTTGTCCAGTGGCTTGTCTGTGACTAACAGACGTCCTTGTCTCAACTGAAAACACTCCAGACCTTTAGACAAAGCTTCTTTAACCAATTGCAAATGAAAGAATCTTTATAAACCCACCCGGGACCTGCAATCCCCTGCTTCGAGACGTCCTGCCTTCCACGTACTTATTTATGACTTTACGTGTAATTCCTGTCTCCCCGAAATGCATGAAGCAAACTGTGACCCAGCCCCGGAGCGCACGGCTCCCCCGGCCGTGGTCACACACACTCAGCTCAGACTGAACCCGCTAGGTTATTTTACAGAGCTTGGGTTCTTTTCCCTCGACGTGACCACTGCAGCGTCCCCGCAAAGCAGCCCCGCTGACAGCCACAGCTCCCAGGTGGGGACTCCGAGGGGCCAGTGCACCCCGATTTTTCCTCCCCCCAGAGGCGGGGGCGGCTGGGGCCCGGGCGCAGTCTCCGTGGGGCTCCCTCATCGTGGAGGACACTGCAGCCGGCCCTGCGGCTCCAGGCGGGGCACAGGCCTCTCCGTCCCACACTCGGGGCGTCCCTTGAGCTCCAGAATCCTACCGTCCCCTCCGTGCTCAGGCCTGGGCGGTCAGAGCTGCCGGGTGCTCTTCCCGCCGCAGCTGCTGTTCTGGTGGGGGAGGGACAGATGGTGGCTCCTGCCCCCCCCCCCAGCCCAGAGCACCGGGGGATGGGCTGGCCCCTCGAGCTCTGCTGTGTCAGTGCTCACGGTCACCCGAGGGCAGGTGTCTTCTGTCCTCACGCCCCTGCTGGAGCCAGGCTGGAGCCACGCCGGTGCTCGGGACGTCTACTCTGCCCGGCACGGCCCGCCCTGGCCAGGTGCCCCCTGGCCCCGACGTCCGCCTCCCCTGGGAAGTGGGGACCTCGGTACCCCTCCTGGGGGGGCCGCTGCCGCCATCTGTCTTCCAGAGGCTGGGACAGGGTGCGGGTGGCGTCTGGCTGAGATCCGGCACCTTTGCTGGCGTGGCTTGAACGTGGCCCTCGCTCCTCCCCAGTCCAGACCTGCCCGGAGAGGGGGCCCGGGAGGCTGGGGAGGGGCTTCCCGCCTGGGCTGCTCTGCACCGCCACCCACCCAGAATGGCTCCCCTCAGCCTGTTGGGGTCCCCTTCTTCTCCCCTCCTCTCCAGCTGCAGTTCCACGGGGCCCACCTGGAGGGCCCCCCTCCTGTGTGACCCCTCCCAGCTCCAGCCCTTGTTGCCAGCCACAGACACCCCTGGGGGCCTGAGAAGCCTCCGTGGTGGGGGCAGGGATTTTGAAGCCCCCCCCCCAGGCTGCTCTACTCCCCCAACCCTGCCACTGAACCTCCGTGTGCCCAGACCACGTGGGCCCCAGTGAGCACTGGTCACCTCATGGAGCCAGGTTCCTCCGTGGGGGCAGAGGGGGCCCCTCTCACCTGCCCCAGCCCAGCCCTGGAGCCCCCAAGGGCTCTGGGAATCGAGGCCCACACAGAGCCCCAGCCGCTGTGCCCACTACTCCCTGTCCCCAACCCCCTTGGTAACAGCAGCAGTGGGCCGGGGGCCACGAGCTGCAGGGGGCAACGGACCAGGGTGGGGCCTTTTTCTGACATTCCCCCAGCCTCAGTTTCCCCCCGGAGTGGGATTCGCCTTTCCTGTGGGTGGCATGAGACACACAGGACTCCAGCAGGTCAGTCATAGCAGCACCAAGCCCTGGCGTGAAGGTGGCCACGGCCCAGCCCCCACCCCCGCCCTCCCCCCAGGCTCAGCTCCCAGGCCCCTCCCCCACCCAGCGCTCCTGTCCCTCTGTGCCCGGAGCACAAAGCGCCAGGACAAAGCCCCTGGGTCCTGCTGACACAGCAGCCTCCTCCCGGGAGGCTGACAAAGGGACTCGCAGAGGCGAGCTGGGATTCGGGGACCCAAAGGGTCGGATGCCTCAGTTGCTTCTGTCCGCAAGGCAGCCAGAACCAAGGACGGGCAGAGGGCAGTGGACACGGCACTGGGGGCAGGGGCCCGGCTCCCCCTTCTCGGAAAACCAGGAGACTCAGCCGGGCTGAGTGGCCGTCCCAGGCCAGCAGGACCCTGGTTCATGATGATCCTCCCAGCCCCCGCCAGCCAGGGCTTGCAGTTGCACCCAAAGGCCCGGAGCTGGGGAGTGGGTCCTCGCCACGCTCCCTCCAGCCAGGCGGGTGGCCAGACACGGCATCTGTGGGTCCACCCCACCCTCGTGGGCAGGCCAGGTGGGAAGGCTGAGCCCAGGACGGAGCCCGGCTGGTGGAGCAGGGCTGGTGGCAGGAGCCGGCCCTGAGAGCTCAGCCTTGCGCTGCGCAGGGTCAGCCACACCGGGGACAGGAAGGCTCAGTGCTCCGTGGCCCCAGCCCCTGGGGCGTTCCTGGTGGGACAGTGTGGTGTGGCACCTGCAGGACAGGCTGGCTCAGGGCGACCCCAAACCGTGAACCCAGGGCGGGGGGATGCATTAATGCAAAGCCCTGCGCAGGCCCACGGCAGCTCAGAAAGGTCCTTGTGGACACGGCCAAGGAGCAAAGGGCTGGGCATGGCTGCTGGCTTGAACCCCAGGGAGCAAAGGAGTGGGAAGGCTGCCGGCTTGAACCCCAAGGAGCAAAGGGGTGGGCATGGCTGCCGGCTTGAACCCCAGGACCCCAGCAGCCGCTGGCCCTGAGGGACACAGCCAGGGAGAGGGAGAAGGCCCAGCCCCAGGGGCTATCAGGGCCTGGGACCTGCTCCGCCCACTTGCACCTGCGCCCACGTGGGGGCAGGTCTGGACCAGGGAGGTAGTTGCACACTGTGGGGGTGGCAGGTAGCCAGGTGAGCCGGGTGAGCCGCCCCCCACTTCCCAGACAGTAAAGCCAGGGCAGAGAAAAGGAGACCCTCCCTCCCCCACCCCAGCCAGGTCACCCAGGGCTCGGTGCAGGGCCCCCCGACAGGCACTGACACCCTGGGACCATCTGCCCCTTTCCCTTGTAAGATGTGGAGAGGAGGGGAGATGAACCCCCAAACCCACAGCCAGATCCCTGCCCTTCTGTGGGCAGCAAGCCTGGGGCTGGCTCCAGCAGCTGGGGGTCCTGAGGGCGTCCTTGGAGGATGGTGGGACACCCTGTCCCCAACAGCCCAGCCCCCTTCTCTGGCTCCTCCCTGTCTCTCCCCACCCCCCAGCTCCATTGCCAAGCATGAGTCCAGAAAGCCTAGGTTTGAACTGACTTTATTATTCTGTAAATGTGAATTTTACAAAGCGCTTTACAATTAACATCACATCCTTCTGTTTGTAGGAGTTCCACTCCCTGGAACGGCTCTGGGCGCGCTTGGAGCCCTCGGTTTCCCTGGTCACGCGCGGATGTTTCTGCTGAGCTATTGGTACAGTGTCAGCCGTGGCTAAACGTAACAGTCTGGACGCGACAGTAACAGCCCGGAGGGAGTGAGGTGCACAACACAACTGAGGCTTCCGCCCTAAAAGAAACAAAGAAAGCTGCGACTTCCGTGGCTGAGCTCTAGCCAGTGGTGCTGCGAGGCCTTCCCCGACGACGCACAGGAACAGTTTGTTTTATTTTTAACAGTCGTGAGTTACAGTACTGCTTTAACCCTACGCAGACTCTCCAAAACCACCGCCTCCTTGTTGAGAGTCTCTCTTTCCCAAACATCCCGTCCAAAGGATGAATGTTCTATTTGCACCCAGCGCCACCCAAATGTTCAAGTCAAAAATATTTATACATTTTATACTTAGTTTTTTTTTTTTGTTTGCTAAAAATAGTATTGCAAGTTTTGGCTTCTTTTGACATAGAAATCACAATCATGTGCAAAATGCTAACAATGGAAGCGACTGATCAGAATGTGAGCAGGTCGTCCAAGCCAAATGCTTTAGATTCTGCATAATTTTCCTTTTTATCCCCAAAGAAACGAAACGAACAAACAAACAAACACAAACAACCTTTGCCATTTTAGAAACATCTTGTACCAAGCCCTAAATGCTCCAGTGTGGGGGCTGTGTGTGTGTGTCTCTCTCACTCTCTCACACACACACTCACGTGTGCACACACACACATGCACACACGTGTACACACACGCACTCAGTCATGCACATGTGCACGCACGCGCTCACACACGTGCACACCCCATACACACATGCACATGTGCACACACATGCATGTGTGTGTGCACGCACATGCATGTGTATGTGCACGCACATGCATGTGTGTGTGCACGCACGCACTCACACACGTGCACACACGCACGGAGCCGGCTGGCTGACAGAATGACAAATCCATGCAGCAGCAACATTCTGAAACAGTAGTTAAAGCTGGAGACAGCTACGAGCTCTCCATTCTGAGCGTAGGACTCACTGCCGGCAGAGGCAAACAGAGGTTTTCTCCGAGTTTTCACTTGGTTAATGGGCCATCGGCCTTTTCCACTTGCAGCAAAGACGTTTCCATAAAGGTAGCTCATCGGAGGGGACCCAGGCAGTCAATGACTGAGGGGGGCGGGTGGCACTGGGCCTGTGCTCAAAGTCCCAGCTGCTGAATGAGGACTGGTCAGGGCCAGGCACACCAGAGTCCCCTCGTCCCCTCGGAGGGGACGGGCCACCCCTCAGCGTCCACCTTCCTTTTGCCTTCCTCCCAGCTCTGGACACAAACACTTTCAAAGAATGAGTTTTCATGGAGGAGAAATGACACCTGACAGCCAGTTTCACCTTCGTGGAGCCCCCTCCCCCCGCTGCGGTCCCCGAGCCCGCGCCACCCGGCGGGGCCGGTTGGCCTGCCGCCCACGGCTCCACCCACATTCGGGGGCACAGACAGACACCCAAGTCCACGCGGAGGAGGCGACGACAGAGAACGCGGCGAGCAGACACAGTGCAGGACACAGACAGAATTCAAGTACCGAGGCGCGCCGGCCGGGCGGGCCCGCCGGCTCACAGTATCTGTCCCATCTCCGGCGCTTCTCCTGGACCTCCGCCCTCTGCACGGCTGCCCCGCCCGGCCCGGCCCGGGGAGCCGAGGGCGGGGCAGGAGAGGGTGGGGTGGAGGCTGGGTCCTGGGCCGGCCGCCCACCACCCCGGCAGCTCCGTCGCGGCCCAGTCCCTTCCGTCCCCCCCTGAAAAGGCGTGGCTATCGCTTAGCTCTACAATAGACTCTATACAGGGTAAGCGTATTGCTAATAGTCAGGCGTAGGGATGGAGGTGCAGGCGCCGCATAAATACCGAGTGGCTGTCTCTCGCCTACAGGGTCTGGGTGAGCCAGGGCCTCGCTTGCAGGACGGGACAGCCCCGGACTCTGGAATTAGTCGTCTTGTAAACAAAGGAGAAGGGAGGGTCCGGTTGTCTTAATTGGTTTTCCTTGGGAAAAATGATCAAAAGATGCTAAGGCACTCTGGAAGGCCCCTCCGAGCCCAGGCCCGCCGCTGCCGCCGCCGCCCCGCGGCACATCCGGGGTGCGGAGGGGGCACCCCGGCCGGTACAATCGTCACCTGCAAACGCTCGCTCCCACCCGCGGCCACCGCCACGGGACACATTAGTGCAAAACGCTCGGCCTGGCCCGCCCGGGGCGCAGGGAGAGCTCAGAACCCATTCACATTAAATTGTCACCGTGGAAGTCCCACCCATCACAGCTCCCGCCTTCCTCACCCAGAACAACAGAACCGAAGGCGACCGCAAAGATAAGGGACAGAGGTTGCGGGGCGTTGTGCTAGCCCGAGCGGCGCCAGTGTCCCCCGTGCAGCCACCAAGTCCCGCTGAGGCCGGCGGCACCCCTCCCTGCGCCGGGGGGCGGGGCACAGCCCTTCTGCTGCCACCGGGTCTGCCTCCCGCAGGCCCCCAGGGGTGGTCAAATTAAAGTGCAAACGTGGGTGGGGCGGCGATGAAGGGAAGCTCCAGAGGGGACAGGGTGCAGTGCCACCTCCCGCCGTCCCCTCCACACCCACAGCCGCTCCTGATGCAGAGGAAGTCTCGGTCCTGGTCCCCAGCGGGCCGCACGGGGCTCCGACCCCACCTGGGCCCACGGCAGGGGAGGAAGAGGCCACGTCTGGGCCAGGTGGCTCTCTGTGGCCACCTTCGCCCCCGGAATGCAGGCCTTGGGGCTCCCTGGACGTGGCCCCGAGGGGGGGTGGGGGGTCGAGGTTGCCTCCACGGTGCCTGCCCATGGTTCCTTCCCCCCTCCCCCCGGCCCCCTTCTGGAAGGCACCGTGTCTTTCTGAAGGGCAGGCGCATGCTCGGGCTGGCTGGAGGAGCCCAGGAGGCTGGGTGCAGGGCAGGAAGCAGCCCCCACTGCTGCCTTGGGAGGGTGCCCAAGGCCTCCCCACACAGGGAGGGTAGTGTCAGCACACGTGGTCCCCACGCCGGGGCACAAGCACAGGGCCCCCACTGCGGGGCGGGCCGGGCCGGGCCTGCTGCGCTCGCTGAGCCAGGCCCGTCCGGCCCGTGCCCTGCGGGGGCCGAGTTCCGGGTGGGCTGGGGGCAAGGGGGAGCAGCAGACCCTTCACGACCTGGGATGGGGGGTTCCTCTGGCCACACCTGGGGACCTGCCTGTGTCTCTGAAGCCAGGCAGCCCCCAGACAAGAGCAAAGGCACCTGGGCAAGTGGCCACACCCGCAGCTCACACCCCTGTGACCCTCACCACTCAGGAAACAATGCCTAAACGTCACAGCGAGCACTCACCCTCCAGCAGGCCGCCCTCCGCCCGGGCCTCCCCACCCCTGCACCCCTGGTCCCCTTGCAGCGCCCACACCTGCAAACCTGCAAACCGCACCACCCGCAGGCTGGGCACCCGCAGAGGCACCCACACCCCAAGTGTGGTGGCCTCCTGCCCCCGCAGAGCCCCTCCCTCCCCGGGCTGGCCCTGAGCTCGGCCTCCACACGTCCTGGCTGCACTTCCTTGGGACCCCTCGGCCCCCACCGGGGGGTGAGTGGACCCTGGCCCGGGCCGGGGGCGTGGGCATACACCTGCCCACCAGACGTGACCTGCCCCAAGCCACGGCGGGCTTGGCACAGGGACACACATCCCCCCCCAAATTTTTTGCTCTGTTGGGTTTGACGATTTCCAAACAATATATGAAACAGACCTAAGTTACAAAAACAAAAAGACAGACAAGCACATTCCCAAAGTGGCAGAGGAGGCAGCGGGTGGTGTGGCCACACCAGCCACGCATGTCCACGGTGGGGCTGGTGGACCACGGGGCCGCAGAGCCCAGAGGGTCCAGCAGGGCCAGGACGGTGCGTGGGGAGCTGGACAAGCACCCTGCGTCCACCCCAGAGTGGCCGGCCACGGCCACTGCTGCACCCTCACGGCGGCCCCCGCACGCACACACGCCTGCACACACACGCCCCGCGCAGGTGGAAGACCCGGTGGGCTCGGCCCCCTCTCCCCCAGCCTCAGGAAGAAGGAAAATAAGGAGTTTGGCGCCTGGGGCCGCAGCCCCGCCCACCGTCCACAGGGGCCCACCGGGAAGGGGCAGAGTGTCACGGGACGCACAGCCCGGCCCAGCCCAGGCCTCCGGGGTGGCGAGGGGGCAGGGTGGGCACCAGGGCCCTGGCAGCCTCTCGACCCCTCCCCGGGGAGGGGGGAGCCCCAGCTCGGAGACTAGCCTTGTGGATGTCCAAAGGGAGCCCCGGGGCTCTGCAACTAGGTCCCCCGGGGCCTAAGTGTTTACAGTATAATGAATGCATTTGTTTCCTTCATCAGTTTTAAATACAAGCAGAATAAAAATCACATTTTTCTCAGGCAACAGTAGCAGTTCAGTAGGTAAGTGGCTTGATCACATTGGTTCGTATTAGTAACGCATGCAAGCAGCTCTAGTATCGGTCCCTCCCCCGCGGCGTGGCGCCCGGCCCGGCTCACAGAGTCCCCGCGTAGGCGCCCTCGGGCCTCCTGGCGGCGGCGGCCGGCGTCTGGGGCCTGCCGGGGCTGGCGCTGCCCTGCTCGAAGGGCGGCGGGGGGCTCTGGCCCTCGGCGGGCGGCGGCTCGGGGGCGGCCACCTCCTGGATGACCGAGCCGGCCCCGTCCGCCTCCTCGCCGGCGGCCTCGAAGGCGGGGTTGGCGGCGCTCAGGTCGACGCTCACGGCGTCAGTTCTCAGCGCCACGATGGCGGCTGCGTCGCCCCGCCGCTCGGCCGCGTAGATGCGCTGCTCGAACACCTGCGCGGCGGCGGGCGGGAACTCGGGGTCGAGGGGCACGCCGGCGGCCGAGGCGCCCATGACGGTGCGGTACATCTCCACGCCCTCCGGCAGCATGGACTTGATCTTGGGCAGCCAGCGCTTGCGCACCCGGCGGGCGTTGGTGCACATGTCCGCCGCGATCACGTTCATCTCGCTCTCCTTGAAGCTGGGGGCGAAGTTCTGGCAGTACACTGCGGGGACAGGGCCGCGGGGAGCGGGGCGTGAGCGTGGCCCTGCTCGGCCCACGCCTCCCGGGGGGCCACGGGACCCAGGCGCCTTGGACCAGGCCGCTGCAGACCGGCGGCCACTCTCCCGCTGCCCAGGCCGGCGGGCCCCCCGCCCTCGGTCCTCTGGGACGTCTCTGGCCTGCTCAGGTCCAGCAGCCCTGGCCTCCGCCCACCTGTTTCAGCCTCTCCCGGCCTCCCCCCTTCCTCCTGCAGACTGGGACTGGTGGGAGGGTCCTGGCACAGGCGTGGGCAAGGACCCAGCCTCTAGAGTCCCTGCCCTGTCCCCGTCCCCAACCTGGAGGAAGAGAGTGACAGATGGCTACCGCCATCATCGGCTAAAGCCACTCTCCTCCCTTGTCTGTGGGAGCCGGACCGAGGCTGGGCCTGATGCTCCGGGGGCACCAGAGCCAGAGGCAGGTCCCCGGGGCCAGCGCCAGCCTCACCCCCTCCCGCACCCGGAGCTTGGGGGCCGCGCTCACCGGCGGCAAAGGCCCCGTGCTGTTGAGAGCAGAATGAGCCTCACAAGGCTTTTTTTTTTTTTTAAAGCAAGAAGGCAAGACAGCGTTTCTCAAGCGGGCAGCCCTAGGAGGCCGTGGTCTCGGCCGGCCCAGCCTTGCGGGCGGCAGGCGGCCTTGCCCACGTCGGGGGTCTCGGGGCAGGCCTGGCCCTGCCACGGGCTGGGCCCCGCCCGCGTGCCCAGGAGCCGGAGGCAGAAGCCGGCCGAACAGATGGCACAGCCTCAAAATAACTGCGAAATGTAAATAAGGGGTTTTGTTCAAAAAGGAAAATTAGATCTATTTCACGTATTAAAATAGTTTCGCAGCTGAATTCATCACACTTGGAAACCTACCAAGAACGTTAGCACCTCGAGACCTGGCTGCCAGGGCTGCCGGCGCTGCTCTCTTTGCCTCCTCTCCCCGCCCCCGCCCCATCCCGCGGCCACCCCCGGGCACCCTGCGTGGCCCGAGCTCCCCTCCCCAGGGGCCCTCCGGCCGCCGCCCCGGCCCCAGCAAGCCCGCCCCGCCCCGGAGGCCCCGCCCTCACGTTTCACGGCGTTCAGGACCCGGCTGTCCAGCGGCTTGCGGCTGGGGTCGCTGGTGGACGATCGGATGCCGGTGCCGCAGCTGTTGGCGAGCGTGTTCCTGCGGAGAGACGGGCGGGGCGGCTGAGGCGGCCAGAGCGAGAGCTTCCCTGCCCCGCGGCCTGCCCGTCCACCCGGCGTGTGTCCCAGGGGTCGTGGGCCCAGGGCAGGGGCAGGGGCAGGGGCAGCCACCCTCCGAGGGATGAAGAAGAAGCCCCCCAACCCCAGGCTCAGAAGGTGACTCAGGTGACGGGGTGGGGAAGGTGACAGGGCCAGTCTTGAGCCGTGTCCCCGAGGACCCTGGTCATGGGAGCGGGCTGCTCCGCCCTGGGGACGGGCTCGGCTGACCCTTCGAGCATTGGAGTGAGTGCCGGTCTTCACCTCGGGGTGCATGGGCCCTTGGGGAGACGCCAGGGGAGTCCTCCAACCCCCCAAGACCCAAGTCCCAGTCTACGCCCTTCCCAGGGGCCCCCGACATCCCGGGTGCAGGGGAGTCAGGGCGCACGAGGGGCCTGAGCGCCGAGGCTCGGAGCTGCAGGAGACTGGAACCTTCCGCCGCCCACTCGCCGACCCACCTGTCGAAGAAGGTGGCCAGGAGCCTGCGCAGCAGCACTTTGTGCTTCACGCCCGCGCAGAGGTGGCAGTTCATCAGCTGGCCGCGCGTGATGTACACTCCGGAGCCTGCGGGCGGCAAACGCGGGAAGGCGAGGCCTTGAGTTCGCCTCCGAGACCCAGGGCTCCCGGCCTCCCCAGGGCAGGGGCAGGTGAGCCGGGGCCACAGCAGGTGGGGGGCAGGGCGGGGCCTCTGGGCCTGTTTCTGGGAGAAGCAACCTCCTCTCCTGCCTGCTGGCCACCAGGAGGTGCCACGGCCAAGGCCACGGCCCAGCAAAACCTCGCAGGCTGGGGAAAGCCACTGTGGCTCCCGCCCCCCCAGGGAGTCCCAACCTCCCAGCTGTCCTCGCTGGGCTGAGGCCCTGTCGGCAGGACGTGGCTGCCCCACGTGGCTGCCCCCACGTGGCTGCCCCGGCCACCTTCCTGGGAACACACTTCCAGGGGCCGTCCCTGGCCTGGCTTGGGGAACACTGTCCCTGCCCAGATGGGAAGAGCCTCGGCCGGGCGGGGGGTCTGCCTGCAGCCTCAGTGGGCCCAGCACTGACCCCCCCGGGTGCTCTGCAGGGGAAACAGAGTGAGGCAGGTGCGGCCGGGGCCACGCCGCGCTGCCCCCCTGGGGAAGTGCCTGGGTGCCCTGGCGACCAAGGCTCTGAACCCACAGCAGGATAGGACCCTGCGAGGAACAAAGGGGACGTCGCTGCCTGGAAAGGGAGCTTGGGAAAGAGCCGGAAGGCTGCCCGACTTGGTAAGGGAAGGCAGAGTGAGGGTGCAGCGTGACGGGCCACGGGAAACCCTCCCGGTGCTGGGGGCTCCGGGAACTTGGTCTCGTGTGGCTCCTCCTCTAGCCTCACATAGCATGCCCGGAACCTTCCATGGGGACAGAGGCTCGGCCGTGCTCTTTCTGGAGGGCTGGCCCGAGGGAAGATATGAGGACCCTGTTCTTGTGAGGGGACCCTCGGTGTGGCAGCCTCAGGGCCGACTGGTCCCCGTAGCGGTCGCTGCCCCTGCCCAGGGGCCTGTTTGGCCCGCCCAGGGGCAGCCAGTCTCCACGACCCTAAGCACCCCACTCCCCGACTGGGGCTTGAGCCTACGAGCCCCCCGGGTTCGGGGCCCTTTTTTGGCCCTTTTGCGGGGGTTGTTCGGGGGGTTTTCTTGGGGGCCCGGTTCGGGGCCCGTTGGCCCCCCCAAACACAGGCCACTGCTGCTGGCGCTGGGACAGCCAAGGGCCGCAGCCACAAGGTGACAGGAGCCCACCTGGCCTGTAGAGCCGCTGCAGCCCCACCTCGATGGCCAGGTGGCCCGGGAAGCTGCTCTCCCTCCCGCAGGACGAAAGGGGTCCCAGGCGGAGGCTGGTCCCAGGTGGGGCTCCCAGCGGAGGGGACAGCACCCGGGGTGCCCAAGACACCATCCAGGGACTGGCCCCTGGGGCACGGGGCAGGGCGGGTGCCTCAGGAGGACACTGGGCTCTGGGGCCAAGGCCAGGCCTGAGGGGCCTGCCCAGGAGGGCTTGGGACTTCCCGAGGGGAAGACTGACCAGAAAACAGCTCAAGAGTCACCAAGGAGGGCGGCCGCACGTTAAGTCTCATCTTTCTGCAGGACGGCCTTCAAGACCCACGGGAAGATGAACCTTTGGGCGGGGACGGGACTGGCGGGCCCGAGTCTGCTCAGAACCCCGTTTCTGCGACTGGCTGCCGTTGGGAACCTGGCGGTCGCCCCCCGGGGCGGCAACTGGATGCTCGGGGTGGGGGCTGGGAACCTGTACTGGACGTGGCTGCATCCGCGCCCTAAATTAAGGCTCCTCGTGACGCAGGCCCTGCCAGCGAGCAGCCCCAGCCCAGGGGACTCAATTAAAATGCGAAATTAATTCAATTGAATAACTCCTCTTAATGACACATTCTTCTAAAAGGAAATTAGGGGAAATATAAGATGTTCTATCCTTTTTCTTTTTTTTTTTTTTTTGACTAATTGGTGATGAGTACATTGTTCATGGCTCTGAAAAAAAGTAAACAGCGAGGACATTTGCATACAGTAGGCAGCCGGACGCAAGGCCTCACCTGCCACCAACTCCAGCTTCTCCCCAGGGTCCCCCTCGGAGTAGAGCTTGGGGTGGCAGCGGTACCCGATCTGGCTGATGAGGCTGGCGGGCAGGGCCACCAGGTCTCGGCGGATGAGGACGCAGGAGCGGCTCTCCAGCGGCACCGGCTCCGGCTTCTCTTGCACTGTGGGGCCAGAAGCGAGTAGGTGAGTGGTGACCGCTGGCCGGTGGGCGGGTCCCAGCGCGCTTTCGGGGCCCGCTCGTCAGACCTGCCCCGGCCACCCCCTGTGCCCACTTGGGGTCCCCCTACCCTGGCAGGGAAGCCCCAGAGTGGAGGGATGCAGGAGATGCAGGGAGCGGTGCCCGCCCAGGCCGGGAACCGGCCGGTGGCTGAGCCCAGGCGGCAGGCGTCCACCCAGGCTGGCCTGGCCTGGGGCTGAGGGGGGCAGGGAGGAGAGTGCAGGTGCACAGGACAGGGTGGGGGCCGGCCCTGTGGGAGCGTCGAGGCTGGAGGTGAGGCTGGCACAGCGGGGCCCACAGTCGGGGTTCACCCGGGCGGGGTGGCCCCCACGCTGCCAGGAGACTGGGCAGAGGGGAGGCTGGGAGCTAGAAAGGGTCCCAGGTATAGTCGCCCCGGCTCTGTCCTTTTTTTTTTTTTTTTGAGACAGAGTCTCGCTTTGTTGCCCAGGCTAGAGTCAGTGCCGTGGCGTCATCATAGCTCACAGCAGCCTCAAACTCCTGGGCTCAAGAGATCCTCCTGCCTCAGCCTCCCGAGTAGCTGGGACTACAGGCATGCGTCACCATGCCCGGCTCATTTTTTCTATATATATTAGTTGGCCAATTAATTTCTTTCTATTTATAGTAGAGACGGGGTCTCACTCTTGCTCAGGCTGGTTTCAAACTCTTGACCTTGAGCAATCCGGCCGCCTCGGCCTCCCAGAATGCTAGGGTTACAGGCGTGAGCCACCATGCCTGGCCTGGCTCTATCCTTGACGCCTCCCCGTGCCAGAGACAGCCGGGCGTGGCCAGCTGTGTCACAGGGGAGGGGATGTGGGGCCCTGGCACTTCCAAGGACACAGCCCATCGGACCTCGCCAGGCAGGTGGGAGGAGCAGCCCCGCAAACGTTTATCAACTGCAGGCGGAGCGTGTCGCTGGGGCAGCCCTCCCGGCACCCCCGGGAACATTCCCGACAAGCTGCTGCCGCCGTGGGGCAGACAACAGTCCGGGGTCCCGAACATGCAGCTGCGCCAGCGCGTGCCCCCAGCTCTGCTCCCCGACAGGCCCCTCGGCGTCCCCATGAGGCTGGCCAGCTGGCGCTGCTGCTGTGACCCCAAGAGCTCCGCAGGCCACCTGCCGGCCCCGCCCTCGGTGCCCTCCCGGCCCGGCCAGGTCCTCTGGCAGGACCTGCTGTAGTCGGGCCGAGGGTGCCCTCTAGGGGTGCTCAGGGGGGAGGGGGGGCTGCGGCCCAGAGCCCTCGTGCCACGACCACCACGGGAGACTCGGCTCGCTCTAGGCGCTGTGAGGAGACGGGGCCCCGCCCGGCACCTGCCGCTTCCCCATTGCCCCTCCTGCCCCGAGTCCCAGGAGGCCTCACAGGCTGAGACCTCACTTGGGGCCTGCACAAGGCCAACGGGGCCCCAGGGTGAAGCCCAGCTCCCCAGCGCAGCCCCCGCCCCAGCTCCCATGTGCCACGAGGCCACCAGCCTAGCGCTCACCATGAGGCCAGCAGGCTGCCCACGTGGCTGCCTCCCTCGTCCCTGTGTCCCCACCCATGAGGCGAGGGCCTGGGGGGGCTCCTCTCCCGGTCTGCTGTCCTCGTTATGACATCACACCTGCTCTGGGGGAGGTCCCCTCGCTACCCACTGAGCGCCCGGCCCTCCCCCGCCCGGGACCCGGAGGTAGCTCTGCAGGTTGGAACAGGCCCTCTAGCCACTGATGGCCACCCGGGATGGGGTCTTGCTCCCCGGGGGTGGCGAGAGGTCCTTTTTGCACCCCTGGGTGGAGGGGGTGGCCTGTAGAATGCCCTGGTGCCAGGACACTCGCCCAGAAGGCTCAGACCAGCCCCCACCCTGCACCTGCCACCCAGGCTGGGCCAGCACCCCTGTCCCGCTGTGCCGTGGCCCCACCTCAGGGAGTCGCAGGGAAACGTCTCAGCGGGGGCAGCTGCCTGGGGCGTGGGGGTGCAGGGGGTGCTCAGGACGGAGGGTGGGGGGAAGAGTGTCGGGGCAGGAATCCACCCAAGTTATCTCCCTGTGGGGGAGCCCCGGAGTGCCAGCGTCCTGGCTACCACGGTGGCCCCACACGTGGAAATCCACGGCGAGAGCCACGTGGGAGAAGGCAGGGTGGGTTCCAGGCCTGAGGACGGGGTGGGGCGGGGGTGCTGGGACCCCCTGCAGCTCTGCCCCCCCCACTGTGTATCTGACCCCGCCCTGCCGCCTCCCCCCGCCCCCCGATTGTCCCAGGTTGACAGACACTTGGTGGAGGCCGAGGCAGGACAGGGACAGAGGCCGACACCAGCACAACCCGGGCATTTCCCGCCTGGCAGAGCGACGGAGACCCTTCAGAGCCCAGCGTTCCCGGGGCGCAGGGAACAGGGCAAAGACAATCCGGGTGATATTTTAAAACATAATTACGGGCCCCGCCCCCAGCACAGCCTGCTGTGATTACACATGCAAATGAGCAGCCAGCCAGCGCCGTGGCATTTACATAAAGAGAGTGCGCCAACAGAAATAATCTCTCACCAGCACCGTCTTGAGATGTTTTTCTCAACAGCAGAAGTTGTTTGCGCTGCGCGCGGCCCCCCCTCCCAGCCCCGGCCCGGCTCCCCGGGAGCCAGCGACTGTCAGCACCAGAGCAGCCAAAAAAACCTCTTCTATTTCTGCCCTGCGTGTGCCGGATCCGCCGCCGAGCGCTGGATGTGCCGTGGCTAAAAATACCCCGGCCGGCCGAGTTGTAGCTGGTCCGCAGAGGTGCTCCGAATGCTCCCTGCGCGGCCCCTTCCCCGGCCGGGGCCCCAGGCAGGAGCTGAGCGTCAGGGGCCCGGTGACAACCGGGCTTTGAAGACACTCAGGAGGGACTTGTTCACGGCGGTGGGGGACACCTGGCCCTGGGGGGGCTGCGGGCAGCCGTTGGGACCACAGATGCCATCCCGAGGGTGGCGGGACCCCTCTGGGCTGTGAGCCGGGAACAGGCACCTGCCCAGGGTCCCTCCCGGGCCTGGGTCTCAGGTGCTGTCACCGGGACCGGCCGCCTCTGCCACCACCGGCCCTGTGGGTGGGCCTGGACTCCGGGATCCTGCATTCCACGTCCCGGCACGCGGCATCGGGGGACAAGTTCGCGAAAGAGCAATTAACTGTCGTGTGGAGCTGCAAGTAACTGCTCTCAGCGCAGAGGGGTGAGTCCCCGCCACCACGGAAAGTTCCGGAACAGCTGCTCCAGGCACGTGGGGCCACCCGGGGAGGGCGAGCAGGCAGCTCTCTGGGTCACCCCGGCCTCAGGGGACCCGACCTGGGATCCGGAAGGAGCCCCTCTGAGTCGACGTGGCCGTTGGGCGCCAGGGCTGGGACGTCAGCGTTTCATGGGACAGAGCATCAGGCCGGGACGACGGAAAGTTCCGGAGGTGGATGGGGGTGACAGCTGCACAGCAGTGGACGTGCTCAATGCCACTGTACACTTAGAAGAAATGATTCTAACGGTCTGTTTTATACTTGGCGTATTTCACCACAATAGAGTTTTTATTTTATTTTTTTGACAGAGTCTCACTCTGTTTCTCGGGCTAGAGTGCCGTGGCGTCAGCCTAGCTCACAGCAACCTCCAACTCCCGGGCTCAAGCAATCCTCCTGCCTCAGCCTCCCGAGTAGCTGGGACTACAGGCATGCGCCACCATGCCCGGCTAATTTTTTCTACATATTTTTAGTTGGCCGGTTAATTTTTTTCTATTTCTTAGTAGAGACGGGGTCTCGCTCTTGCTCAGGCTGGTTTCAAACTCCTGACCTTGAGTGATTCTCCCGCCTCACCCTCCCAGAGTGCCAGGATTACAGGCATGAGCCACCGCACCTGGGCCCAACATTAGAGTTTTAAAAAATGAGACAGAACGATCGAGAGGAGGAGGTCACGCATGCAGGTCTGGAGGGGAACCGGGTCCCGGTCCCGGCCTCGGCCGCGACCCTCCTCGACCTCCCTGCTCACTGACTGGGCTGTGAGGGGCGAGTCCTGGGGACTCACCCAGGGGCCCCGTCAGCCCAGGCAGCCCCAGCCGGGGCCCCACGAGGGATCCTGAGCCAAAGCAGCCACTTCTGCAGAGGGCGGGGGGCCTGGTGAATCCCCTCGGGGCCCACTCCACGAAAGCACCTGCCGCCTGCTAAAACGCAGAGTCAGTAAATGCACCCCGAGGCCCCAGGTGTGAAGGAATGCACAACTTCAATCCAAACCGACAGGGGAAAGTGCTGACTCACGCTGATATTAGGAAGCTCTGCTTCCTGCAGAGCTACAGTAACCGAGCCCGCGTGGTACAGGCACCCGGGGACACACAGCTCCCCGGCGAGGTGCGGCACGGCAGGCCGCCAGGAGCCCAGGGAGCCTGTGCGGCCGGTCCTGGCAGAAGCGCACGGGCCGGGCAGCGGGGGCGCGGGGGGCCGGCCACCCACACTCGGGCCAGAACCGAGCCACCGCGATACTCACACACTTGCACAAAAACGGGCCACGGACCTAGATGCAAAACACAAAGCTGTGCAATGTCTAGGAGAAAACAGCCGAGAGTCCTTGTGACCTTGGGCTCACCTAGAAGCCCGGATGTGACCCCAGAAGGACAGTCCCCGGCAGGAGCAACTGGCACGCCAGGATTCCCGGGAGTGGCACGCTGCGGTCTGCGAAGGAGGATGGCCGGCGTCGGTCGGGCCAGGGGAAGAACCCCAGAGCCAGCTCTCCGAGGGGGGACTGGGATCTAACAGACGCAGACGGCTCTCACGGCCGCATGGGGGAACCAAGCCATCCCGTTCCGAGCGTGCGCAAAGGGTGGGAGCAGACAGACCCCCCGCCAGCGGCCGCAGCTGGAAAACCAGCACGAGGAGGGGTGCTCAGCGCGGGGCACGTGCGCAATGCAGAGGAGAGAGCCCCGAGGAAGCACCGGCTCGCTCCGCGGCTAAATGCCGGCAACACCGAGTGCTGGCAGGACGCGGAACGCC